CATCACCACCATCACTACCACCATCACCATCATCATCACCACCACCACCATCATCACCACCATCACTACCACCATCACCATCATCATCACCACCATCACCATCATCATCACCACCACCATCTCCATCACCATCATCACCACCACCATCATCATCACCATCATCACCATCACCAGCATCACCGTTATCACCATCACCAGCATCACCACCAACATCACCATCATCCCCATCACCAGCATCACCGTCATCACCATCACCATCACCAGCATCACCACCAACACCACTATCATCACCACCATCATCACCATCATCACCATCACCACCAACATCACTATCATCACCATCACCATCATCATCACCACCATCACCAAGATCACCATCGCCACCACCACCACCACCACCATCACCATCACCACCCAAATTTCCATTGCTATCACCACTGCCACCACCATCATTCTTGTGATCATCACCATCCAGCTTCTCCTCATCAGCATAACCATCACTATCACCATCACCATGGCCATAATCACTCTCATCATTACCATCATCACTTTCCTTACATCATCCTATTCATCATCATCACCATCACTACCAGCATCACCATCCTCCTCCACTGTCGCCGTCATTAGCATCTTCATTATTATAATCATAATCCTCATAATCATCATCAGACAAGGAGACTGAGGCTCAGAGAGGTTAAATCACTAGCCTAAGTCACACAGCTATGGACAGTGGAGTTGGGATTCAAACCCAGACTTGTTCCTGACTCTAAATGCTGCCTTCTTAACTGCAAAGCTTTCCTGGCTCTCTGCTCTTGAACTCAGATTCAGGAGGAGACAATCTCAGCTAGGTTCCACTGCCTGGTCATCCTCTAAGATGGAGAGAAGTCATGGCTGTGATGGAACTGACTTTGCATCAAAATCCAGACCTTCTGACCAGCCCCGCCTCACCTCTGTCTTTCCTCCCTCTGAGCTCTGCCCTCCTGCTTCATGACAATGGGCCTCTTTTTAACCCTCCCATCCACTTTTACTCTGACTATAGCATTTGTCTGTTCCCCAGCTTTGGGCACCGTGGCTTGCTCTGGGGTCCCTCCTGGTTTCGGTCCCAGGTGTCGAGGTTGACCCTTACCTAGTCCTCTGTTCTAACATTCCCAGCTTTTGGGATTTATAATCCTGGTCCCATCATTTTCCCCGACCCCTAGTCTGGTGCTGATAGTCATTTGGGATCAATTGGAAGTCAGGGCTCCAGCTCTGAGGGCATGGCCCTGAGTGGCCCCTCTGGCTGCTCCCTCGGGGCCAGCTAGACCTCCCTCCCTGCTGTGTCATAAAGCACTGGTGGCCTGCGTCAGAGCCACCTCCACTCTTCTGCGTGGAGAGTTCTGCAATTGTCAGAGGGAACATTCTGTTTTACCCTCTTGAAAATGTCACCAAAACACAAGGGAGTGGTTCTTGATTACAGACATTTCACAAGCCAATGGTCTACCTACGTGATGATAAACAGAGGGATTGTCTGTTGAGATGTCTGCCCTAAATGCCACTCAGCTCCCTCTCAGCTCTGAAACGCCTGATCCTGTGATATCACATGACTATAAATGGGGATTCAACAGAGGTGAGGGGTTAATATTTTTCGAGCGTCTGTAACATACCAGGTGCTGACACAGAAGTGACTTCATTTACTCTCAAAAGACATTAAGGGCGCCTGGGTGGCTCAGTTGGTTAAGCGACTGCCTTCGGCTCAGGTCATGATCCTGGAGTCCTGGGATCGAGTCCCGCATCGGGCTCCCTGCTCAGCAGGGAGTCTGCTTCTCCCTCTCCCGCTCCCCCCTCTTGTGCTCTTTCTCTCTCTCACTCTCTCTCTCAAATAAATAAATAAAATCTTTAAAAAAAAAATAAAAGAGCGAGCTGACATTTCAGCTGAATATTTAAAAAAAAAAAAAGACATTAAAAGCCCTATTTTACAGATGCAAAAACTGAGCCCGGAGGGGTTATGTAAGTTTCCCAGGGTCCCACAGTAAGCACAGAGAAGGGCTGGGATTTGAAACTAGGTCTGATTGATGCTTGGCCCAGATCCTTCCTTTTTTAAACAGAGACAGGAAAAAGTAGTTACTCTAAGCCAGAGGCTAAAGAGCAAGTAATCCAACATCTCTTGCTGAATGAGGCCAGTTTGCAAAAATTACAGGGAACAATTACCTAGGCAACTCCGAAATGGCTCACATGGCATGTCTGTTGTGAATCTTCAGGGAGAGCTGCTTTTATCCTCCCCCTCCCCCCTCCTTTTTTAAGAGGTTTTAACACCTCTGTTTAAATAATGCATCTGAAGTGTTTTGTCAACACAAACTTATTTAAGAGTCCTGTGTGATGAGCTGGGAAAGAATATATTTAATAGGGGACCAGGGGGAACATCCAGGTTGAGCTATTTTGCTTCTGTTCACCCAGGAGCAAAATCAGAAGTAGATTTCAGTAGATTCCCAGCTCCCAGTCTGACAGTGATAACAAGCTCGGAGAGAAATATCTGCCTTATTGCCGCGAATTTGCTCACCCTGGGATCTAGCTGCTTGATGGGTTCCTATGGGCAGGGTAGCTTGCTGGTTAAGAGTGTGGGCTATGGGTTGGGTGGCATTGGGTTCAACTCTTGGCTCTGCTGGTTATAAGCTGTGCCAACCTTGGATATCTTGAATACTTATGCTTTCTGAATCTCCATTTATTCATCTCTAAAGCAGGGTTAGTAATATCTAGTTCATGGGGTTGCAGCAATGGTTAAATGAGGTAAAGTTTATAGCCCTTAGCTGTGTGGCATCTGCTGTTCCTCTTACTACTAATGTGTTTATGGGCTGATCAGACAAGACAGAAACAGAAAAAGGAAAAATGCTGGTTCTGTATAAAACAGCCAAGATTGCTCTAAGCCAGCATGGTCTAATAGAACTTTGTGTGATGATGGGAACATCCTATATCTATGTTGTCCAATTTTATAGCCACTGGTTCCATGTGGCAACTGAGTACTTGAAATGTGCCCATGGTCAATGAGAAACCGAATCCAAAATTCTGTCTAATTTTAATTAAGTTTAAGTAACCAAATGTGGCTGGTGGTTATAGCATTGGACAGTGCCCCTCAAAGCCTTAATGTCTCCAAAGGCTGGGAAATGAAGGCGTACATAGCTCTTAGCCGAGAAAAAGCACGTTCTCTGCGGGCTGGAGGGCACAGGCAGGGACACTCAGACCCTTTCTGAGATGTCATGTCATGTTCACAGCGCACAGGACTTTGGGAA